ACTCATTTCTTCCATTTGCTTTCTTGCAGAGTTCACTTTTTCTAACAACAGGAATATGTGTTCTGCAAACTCCCGCACAGCTCCACAGCCACCATTGTTTTTGCAGATATAACCAGCAGCCTTCTGAGCAACTGCACAAGCATCAGCAGGCACACCACTCATGCCAGCTTTCTTCAGGCATTCCACATCAGACTCTTCATTTCCTATTGAGAAAGATGACAGACAAGGCAAAATATCACTAAGGGGAAAAACTAAGCAAGCTCAGTATCTTTCTGTGTACATACTAATCTGTTTCTAAAAATTTGTACTCTTGCCACAATTTTCATCTCAGCAGCTCAACAGTACTTTGCACATTTGAGTCAGTTCTCAGAAAATCTGTGATACATGTAAACGCTGATCACACTTCACACAATTTTCAGGCAAGAGAATGGAACTCTTAAGAATAGTAAAACTATTTGAGCAACTGAATAAGCATTTGCAGGACTATGTACTTCAGCTATCACTGAAATATAGTTTTCTACAGAATCATACGGCTTTCAGTTTTAATTCTGTCCATTTCTTTATTTCCATTTCAGAATACAATCTATACTTTATCCATCTGAAATGAACTAGAATCAGTTCAAAATTGTGAGCTGTAACTGTATGCTTATGTAATATGAAAAGCTTTCCTAAGTCTCATTATAAAAACAGCTACGATTTCCCTTACCAAATTAGACACTGATTCATCAATGCCTTTAATATTTAGATTGTACCCTAACAAGCCTTAAAGTATGTACCTGCTTTTGGTGATTGCGTGCTGTAATTTGTATGGCAATCCCATTAAGTTTAGTGTATTAAAAGAGAGCAAAGTGATTTGAAGAAGCTGAGCAGCACTATGAAGTTTGTATTTGTGTATGCTGTACAAATTTTACTACCCAAAAAAAAAAAAAAAAAAGGAACTGACCCAAGTAAGCGACTTCTTTCCAGCTCAAACCTATGTCTTTTTGCCAGTCCTCCAGGACTTGCAATTTATTTGTTGCACTAACTTTTGCTACACATCCCAGCTGCATAGCTGACAGTGTTTTTGAACAATCTCTTTCAGAGATGAGTCGAACCTATTAAAATAAAGTCACGTTAGAGTAAATTCTACATACAAAGATCTAAGACATGTAAGTTGTTTATTAAAAAAGAAAAAACACACAGAAGTTTTGCTCATACAAGCTTTCGCAGATACAGATACCAGAAACGCATTGAATAACTGTTTTCTTCAATTAAAACTCAAAGCAGAAGTGACTAACATCGAAAACCACATTACAGTCTTGAAGTTGCTTTGGGAAAGTGAAACACTATTCTCCAGGCTTCCCCAATGTTTAAAAAAAAAAAAAAATTACATTTGTCTTTTTTAATGCAATATGTACCAGATAAAATACTGGATACCACAGTACAGTGGCATGCTGACTATCTAGTACAATATCATCTAATTGAGCCACAGTAGGGAATAAGAGAATATTTGTAGAAGCAGAATATGATGCAGTATTTTCCGTCACTCCCCTACCTAATAACATCATTTTATTTTACAGTGGGACTTCAGAGCATCAACAGAACACTATACAGACTGAAGGAACATAACACATTAATCTCCAAAAGTTCATTCCAATTTTGAAATTTCAGAAACTATGTACAACACAGGTTAAAACCAGAAGATAATTGCAGCAGGATTTTTAAAACTCTGACACAATCCCTCCAGGTCTTCTGTCCAAGCTGTGGACAAGTTTATCTTCCCTAATTGCTATTTAAATACTAACAAATACTCCACACTGATTTTAAGTACAGGATGAACAGGAGTGGTGCACAAAGCAAGACTACATCAGCAATATATACTAGAAATACATAAAGACCAGGAGGTTTTCAGTGAAAGATACACAGTAAGTATGGAAACGGGCTCCCACAGGCAACAAAAGTGATTACAAGGTTCCTTCTCCTTTTGCCTTACAGAAAATGAAGCTGAGGGAGTTTTGAAAAAAACATCTAATCCATTTTACTGCCCCAAGGCAGTAACAGCTGCATCTAAGTATGTATGAATGTCTAGTGTAACCTGTTATTTAAAAAAACCCCTACAATAGAGACTCCAAAAACTGGATCTGGAGAAGCCTACTTGGGGTATAGCTACCTTTGTTTTTTCCATGCCCGTCTCAATCTGCAACAGGACTGAGTTAAGGCTCTTTGAAGGCAGCCTAAATCTGTACTTAGTTCTTACCCCCTCAAAAATCTTCCAGCTATATCAAAAGCAGCAGCACAGATAGAAAACAGCCAGGAGGCTAATTTTTACATAAATGGAAGGAAATATTCAGATCAGTAGAATTTAGTAGCAGAAATAATAATCCATAATAATAGCCATGATACAATCTGTGTTAGTTTAGTTTTTCATTTACACTGAATTCTTACAACTTCAAAGCACCAAAGTTATGGTTAAAACAAATATGCAGACAGAAGTGTTTGGGGGGGTGATTTCCCCTCTTTGCAACAATCATGGGTGATCTAGGATGAACCGACTAATTTGCCTGGGGTATTTCTTCCTCTTTTATAGCCAAGAGGTAACAACATATCCCTGCTTGATAAAGCTGACTTCTAATTAATGAGTGTCTAGGCTACACAGAACACGATGATTGGTGCTAGTAAAACACTATAAAAAATTCTTTGCACATTTTTTCAGGACAAAAAGAGAAAGATGCTATAGCTATGAATGAGATTGAGAAATTTCTCAAAACACCTGTATTCCTCTAAAGGATCCAAGAACAACATTTGTCCCAAACCTGAACCAATGTATTATGCTGCTTGATCACAAGTACTCTGAAGAAACTTCAACTTTTATGCTGCAGGGTTTTAGAATCTTAACGTTCAGGTTACATCAGAAATAAAGCCTCACACTTCAGAACAACACTTACCTGGATTCCTCTTTTCTTTAATAGATCGATACCAATAATATCTCTATAATCGTAGGAGACCATTTCCTTCTGATCTTCTGTCACATAAATGCGACCATTTGTCAGGCATCCATCAATACTGCAAACCAATAGCTTCACCTCTTTTAATGGCTCTTTGCCAAAATATCCAAAGCTAGACAAAGAAGTCATCTTTTTAGGATGGAAGTTTTTGCACGCTCCAAACCCAAACATTTAAAATACAGTTGTGATCTTCAGACAAAAGAATCAGCTTTGAAATTTTTTTCATGCCTTTTCTCATCATCTTCACTCTCCAACTATATTCTCCCTCTTCAAAGAAAAAAACCCCAGAACGATCCAAAAGACAGCTCAATTATGCTCTCCATTTAAAAATTAAGATGAGATTTAATTCCTTAGCATAAAAGGTTATGTTCTGTGTCATTTATTTGGGGCAAAACCAAAATGGAGTAAAGGATGAAATAGGCACAGAAAACATATTCCGGTCCCACCCATTATTTCCTTAAAGAGGTGCAGAGTAGCTGCAAAGGAAAGGCAGCTGGCAAGATGTAATCAGCTCATGTCTTCTACATGAATGATCTGTCATGTGCACCAGTAAATGTGGTCAAGACCATGGAAGTCTATCAAGACCCTGGAAGCCTAGGACTACTCAGCTGGAAAAGCCACAGATGATGGTAACACATTACTTCGGTATAGTGGGGCCTACCTTTTTCCCAAAGTTGAACTACTTTTTTTTTTTTTTTTTTTTTTTTAAGGAAAACAAAACATAGTGAAGGTAATTCAGATGATTTCAAGAGACAGGAAAAAACAATGGGCAGAAATAAAGTGTCCAATTATCTTTGGTCTTGATTACTTATGTTACACGCATTATGAATTCACATGACGATACTTTGAAGCAATGAGCAATATCAAAAAAATAAAAGAATAAAAAGTGCTTTTACCTCAATACTCTCTGCTCTGCAATAGGCCAATCAATGTCTATATCAATATCCACACTGTGCTCTGCACGCATTTCATAATAGGCCATTTTACCACCCTAAATAAAAGAGAACCCATTAAAATTTCCCGCTTGGGTTAATAGAAATACAAAACTGTACAATTTAGTACCATGTAATGAAAGCTAAGAATCTGGTTACACAGTGGTCACAGTAGCCTAAAATATAAGTGAACCATCCATAATGATGTTTTTGCCAGTGACACCAAACCAAGCATTTGAAACAACTTTCTACAAGCAATGGTTAATAAGTATTTTCATTTTACAACTAGAGAAAGCATGGAAGATAGATGTTAATGCATTATAATCATTATGCCACACTGATTTCACTAGGTCTTTTAATACAGTAAAATAGTAATATCTTAAGCATAATCTCAGTAAGTAAACGCTAATTTTGTTTACTGTCTACACAAAGACTTAATTTCAATCAGAAAAATATCTGCCATATTCCAATGTAATTAAGAAAACTAAAAGCCCCGACCCTCAGAGGGCCCAACCTTCATAAAATGCAGAATTCAGCACAATTGTACTATCCAGATCAACGCTTGCAAGTCCACACAGCACTAGCTGACACTGCACGGGTCTGTGCAAACTATAGAGACCTAAAGCTAGTATCTCTGCATTAGTGAGGTACCTGGAAAAGAGAGAAATAAGAATCTGGTATTCTTGACATACCTAGTAAGGTATTCCCATTAGAAATATGGAAATATCTACATTGGGCTTTCTTTCAGTTCTGCTGACAAATATTGGAAATGATCCGTAAGATCGAAAACTTGTCTTGCATGAGAAAACTGAGAGATTATACTTGTAGACAAACAAAATGAAAGCTGAAGTAAATACATTCGTTCTGCAGTACTACACTGGGACGTGAACATCAGGAAAGAGAAAAAGACTGTTTAAGTTACAGTAGAAAATTGGCATAAGACTAAACTGGCCAAGAATACAAGTTTATAGATTAGATGAGAAGCCTATGACACTGCATGAAGGTGAGTTTCACACCCTTAGTACCACTAAAATGAATTGTAAGATATGCACTGACATCATGGTGAACTGATGTGAAACTCGGTGTTGTATTGTTTTAGGTTTATAGCTACATACTGCTCAAAATCATTTGTATAAATTTGTTTGCTGTGGAGGATGCTGTTAATGGAACTGCCCTAGCTACAGCTAGCCCTGCTAAGTTAAGCAAACTGTCCTAAGGTCAAAGTGTTGTTACTTCATCCTGACTGCATCAGAAATAGAAAGACATTATTGAATTCAGAACCCTCTGTAACAAAAGATGTGTTATTCTAAAGAGCATGAAAAACAGAAGCACTAACCTGCAAGTAGCCTTTCTCAATCAAATGTCTCTTGGCAAAATAAAATGAGCCATTTTCATACAGCTCCCCAGGCCAATCTTGCCTCCGGTATCGTTTTGCTGGATTCAAGTTTTGGGGCTCTGTCATTTTGTTTTCTGTGAACAGAGAAAAACAACAAAATAAGATTTCCAGAATCCCCGTTCAGAGTCACGTAACTTTCTTTAAATAGTGTTCCGTTGAAAAATTAAGGACACAATTCCATCACCAACTTCTTTCATTATTGCCTCTCGTTGCTTAGCTTTATAAAGAATCACTGAATCGCTTGCTCTTTCTTGGAACTGTGGATAACAAACTCTATTTCTAGCAGAAGAAAAGGAAATTTTTCATTCCAACTTAAAAAAAGCCTCCCAAAACCTGAGAGTTTGTCAGCTCCAAAACTGGTAACTAAAAGGAGTAGGGGTGACATTCTTCTAGACTGTCCTTGACAATGTGAAAGCAATACTATAGTCTTTCCGTACTCTCCTAGTACATGATAGGAAGGGGTTTAACTTGCAATGAGGGTAAACACCAAGAATACCATTCAGCTACCTACACCTCAACCCAGGAATGCACTGAGTGAACTCTGAGAGCTGAGAGGACCAACCTGAAATCTGGAATGTGAAAAAAGAGCACATGAGAAGAAATTTTGCCTGTGAAAACATCTTGGCAGTTCCCCAAAATATTTCCTATTTAAGGATACACATTATATTAACTTTTCATAAGTGGTACACAAATAAAGAAGTGTCTGTGAACAAACATAAGGTGCCATATTGTTATCAATGCCAGCAGTGCATGCAGCAGAAACTGAACCAAGGACCAGAGACTTCTGTCCTTACACCACCCAAATTCACATGCACAAAGGAGCTAAAATTCCCTGGGTCTCATGATCTAGTAACCATCAAAAACTTAGAGCGCATTCTCAAGCACCCAAAACATCCTGAGACTTTAGTATATATACACACCTTGTATTTCATAAATACACTAGAGCTTTGTGCTCAATGAAGTAAACATTTCCAGTCAGAGAGAGACACCTTTTGCTTTCAGGGTACATCAATATTAAACCTTAATGCAGACGGAACAACAGAAATACACAGTAGTATTTTTTTAACATAATCAGTACTTTAAAGCCACCTGAAAAAAAATGGGAAAAAAAAAAAGAAAGAAAAAAAAGAGTGCAATGCTAAACTGTATAAAGCTCCTGCAAATTGCTGTCAACTGAAACACCACGCTCCTGAAAGGCCATTTGCTTTTACCCTTAAGCTGCTAATGTTTGCACACTGTGTTCCTTGTTCTCCTTGCATATAGTCCTTGCAACTGAATGATTCCTTATCTCTCGCCACATTAAAAGACTTAGATGTCATTTTATACTAAAGAATTATTTGCTCTTTTAGGTAGGCCTTGAGGCTTTTTTATTTTAATAATCAACCTATAGAGCCTAGGTGGCACACAATGACTTCAGAAAGCCACACAGTACATCCAGATAAGGTTTAGTCTTTCACAGATGTCCGTTCTAGCATCTCAAGATGTGAAGTGGACTTTCACTAAGTTCCCTAAAATGTAATCCACAGAACACAAAACTGCCACTCACCATTTTAATGCCCCTCTTACACTTTATGAACAAACTGTGTCACATTATTTCTTCTCTTATGAGGAACAATGAGAATGTTCAAGTCAGCTGTTTATTCTAAACAAAGGCCTAACTTTTATTCCAACTTAGCTCTAATACCAAGCTTCATTCATTTCACATGCTCTTTTACAGCAAGATGCTTTGTGAACTCATATAAAGTGCTTTAGATGATTTTTTTTCATTTCAGCAGAATAATTGTACTATCTGAGTAACACATTTGTTTTTGAAAAATAACAATGTGGCAATATATGCACTAACCATTTGGAGAAAAAGCAGCAAACATTTCTGCTTTAATCACAGGAAGAAAAACAACATCGATAACGTGAAATAGTTCTTTGCACAAAACAAAAGGTACAATCTTTATTCGTAAGTAAAGATTTCAGTCTTTAGTCATCTTGGCAACTGTAGTTGAGAGTCATATTTTCTTGGGGAAAAATAGTCATATTCTTCTGTACCAGGTCATTAACATGAGTTCAGCCCTCATGACTCAAAGACAGTTTGCAATGTGACATAAGTCAGCAGCCAAATTAGCAGGCTGAAACAAAACCTAAGTCTCCAGGTTAAGAAGTTGACAACCCATCTTCACTAAGACTTTACCTCACATTATTTGTCATTTGTTACATCTGCATAGTAAAAACAAACACCTTCCTAGTTAAGACAGGACTTCAGTGTCATAGCTATATGCACATGAATACCTGCGAAGCAGAAGTTAACATGTAAAGTTTTTGGGAGCTATATTTTGGTCCTAGACCAGGTAATAACATTTTAATTTTCAATACCTTATCAATTTGACAAAACAATTACAGAAATGCTAAGCAATGTAATATCAAAACAGCACTACTAAAAAGGAATTTCTAAGCCATCTCACACCTCTCCAAGAACTCAGCCCCTGCCTCTGATATCCCTTCCTAATCTAAATACCATGGGTATGAAAACAAACCATTTGGAAAAAAAATTGGTTAAGTATAATTGTAACCAGAAACAGCTAAGTATTACCTCCTTTTTTTACCTCGCTCCATCTAAATTGATGCCGTCTCACAACTGAGAAGACAGAATCAAACCCCTCCTTCTGGATCAGATCTGCCACTTTTATAAGATCACTGGGATGTAAACAGGGAGATGTTGCTTGAATATTTCCTACAATATCAACCTCTAAAGAAAAACAAACAAACATTTATGAAATAATTAATATTTTTAATACACACAACCGCAAAGTGTGCATGGTATGAGTGGATGCCACAAAAAAAAAAAAAAAAAAAAAAAAAAAAGGAGAATCTTTCTAGCCTTTACTTACTAAAGGCTTTACTTATTTTTCTAGATAATAAGTACATCATCCCTCTGGGGCTACAACATAAAAGCTTAGCATATTTCACTACTGATTTACCATGATGATGATTAAGAAACTCCCTGATAGCTTCTAGAGAAGTTGAGGAGTCTTGAGAAACTTCAGGGCTTCTGCGATGAACTTGAGCACCAAACTGCTTTGCAACCTTCTCAATTTCATCATGGTCTGTAGAAACCCATATACTGTTGGTAGACAGTGACAGAAATTAATATAAAGAATTGTTGTGGTGAATAAATCCCAGCATTGTTGACTTGCCTGCCATAATCCAACATGAACAAAACCCTGGCTTATGTATTTACTACACCTTGCAATGAAAGGAACTAGTTCTTGTATTTGCATTAGTAAAACTATCCATGTCAGTCCAACAAGCAACTTTTAACTATAGGGATAAAACACACACATTCACTAGATTGTAAAATCTCAACCCTGGGATGCACTTCAATTTAATACTGTAGGGTATTTGATCTATCTTCCACATAGGAAGCTTAAGCAACATAAAATTCAGAAGCATTACCAGAAAAAATCCAGTGTCAGCATGCCACAATTTGTTAGGCATGCTAACAGATCAATGAATTGTGAAAGGGTTGAATGAGGCATTCAAAATCATTTAAGAGTTCAGAAACAAGGCTGACAACAAGTAAAACTGCCGCATAGTTGGAAGATTAGCTTATTCTGCAAGTGTTTTAAAATCTGTTAATTAGGCTCCATACAAACCCAGAGAAAGAGCTGTTCAAGTTACAATCACATATGGTTTTGGCACAGAAAACCTTCAATACTGGTAAAGCAAGATTGTCATTGTTCAGGGATAATAAACGTTTACAAAAGGAAGGGCTAAGTCTGAATATTATGTGATGATAAACACCACCTGAGCACTGTGAGGCCACTGCTGCCATCGTTGGGACAAAAAAAGCATATGAAATATAAAAACTATGAAAAATAACCCTTCTCTCCACAACAGTGGCATTCTCATACATAGCAAAGGGTACTTTACTTAAGTTTTTTCAACCAAAGACATCATGGGATCATCAGAATATGTATGACAGCAATGTCAAGTCACACCCGCGTGAACAAAGGCGGAAGAGGTATTTTCCATAAACTGCTTCAGGCTATTTAGCTTAAATATACACTCCCTATTCAACCAATAGTTTTGCTGTATAACACGTAGGCTCCCAGCACAGCTGTTTCAAAGGTGACTAGAAAACCTAGTGCACTGCCATCCAATGCACCTGTTATGCCTCAAAGGTATGCTGCATAACCCTAATTGGCTTCCTGTTGTGCAAATTCATATGCCAAATAGAAAATGAGGTGGTTGCTCAAACCACCATACTCACCACAGGTCATTAAGCAACGTGGATTAGCATGCATTAAGTAATTATCACTAATCTAGTTCAGAAACATTTTTGACCGCTTCGTTATTAAAAATAAAACAAGTCAGTGATGCTTCCTCTACTTTTCAGATATAGTCAAAAAGATTTTCCAGAACAGGCAATGGTACAGCAGCTATGAGATACAGAAGGCTTATGCTTACTTCCAGCTCTGAATCTAACTGGGCTACATTTCTACTTGACTACATCAAATCCCTGCTCTGAACATAATCCAGTAGGTTTGCACTGGGAACCTGCACCCAGGTATGCCACATACCAAGCGCATCCCAACCACGCACTGGTTTTAATTAAGCTTATCAGTATGTGTAGAGATTCTCAGTTTTGTTCTGGCAGAAAAAAAGAAGTTTGCAATGCCCATATTCTTAATCCTAACATACTTGTTTCTGTCTGGCTCTAATTACTGCTGGCAAAGTTTTGTGCACTTGCCACAAACTGAGCTTATGTTCTGTGTCATTTGGGCACACACAATTACTGCCTTCCACTCAACATTTATGTGCTCTGCCCAACTGTGAGCTCCCAATACAAGGAAGAAAAACTGGAGCAAGCTCAGCAGAGAGCCAGCACGATGACTGGGGCCTGGGAGCCCATGCATGCCAGGGGAGGCTGAAAACGCCATTTCAATTCAGTCCTACGAAGAGAAGGCAAGGGGGCAACTTTATTGCCATCTCCAAGTACCTGGTGGGCAGGTAGAGAGAAAAACAGAGATACTTTTCCTGGAGGAGGGCAGTAAGAGGACACAGACTGCAAGAACGAAAGCGCCAATTAGGTATCACAAAACGTTTTTTTCAGCCTTGAGGGTTATCAATCACTGGAACCGGTGCCCAGAAAGGCCCTGGAGTCTCCGTCCTCAGAGACACCCAGGCTCAGCTGTGTTCAGTCCCAGCAGCCCTCACCAGCCCCGCAGGTGGGACCAGGAGACCACCAACCGCAGCCATCTGTGATGAGGGGGACTACCTACAGCCTAGCAGTTTCATTTAATGCAGCCATACTTTTAAATTACTGTTTTGTAGAAGACCTTGACTCCTTCGGGGCCCACCCTCGCCAGGAGGCGGCAGCTGACAGAGCCCACGGTGGGGCGCAGCCCGCTCCCCCCGCACCACGCTCGGGCCTGATCCTTACCCTGCTAAGGGCAGCCCCGCTCCTTCAGCCAGGATCTCCCCACTACACAACCCACACCCCCAAAACTCCCAAACCC